CGATTTATTAAATAAACTAAATAAATATAAATTTTGTAATCTGCATTAACTATAAGTCAATTCATATTATTAATGCTCCGGAAGCGGATTTCTTAAAAGAAAACGTTCCAGAAGTGAAATTCTTAAAGAAAAATTCTTTGGTAGTGTATTTCTTTAAGAAAAACGTTTTGGAAGCGTAGTTCTTATAGAAAAACGTTCCGGAAGTATAGTTCTTATAGAAAAATGCTTCGATAGCGTATTTCCTAAAGAAAAACGCTTTAGTAGCGTATTTCCTAAAGAAAAACACTTCGGTAGCGTATTTCTTAAAAAAAACGCTCTGAAAGCGAATTTCCTAAAAAAAATGCTCTGGAACGTAATTCTAAAGAAAAACGCTCCGGGAGCGTAATTCTTAAAGAAAAGCGCTCCAGAAGCGAATTTCTTAAAGAAAGTGTTCCGGAAGCGAATTTCTTAAAGAAAAACGCTCTAGAAGTGAATTTCTTAAAGAACGATGCTCCGGGAGCGTAATTCTTAAAGAAAAAAACTCCTGGAGCGAAATTCTTAAAAAACAATGCTCTGGAAGTGAATTTCTTAAAGAACAATGCTCCGGAAGCGAATTTCTTAAAGAACAACGCTCTGGAAGCGAATTTCTTAAAGAACGATGCTTCAGGAGCGTAATTCTTAAAGAAAAATGTTCCAGAAGTGTTTTCACTTTAAGAGAATCGATTTGGAGACGTTTCTCTTGAAGGAAACCATTTCAGAAACGATTCTCTTGAAGGAAATCACTTTCTGGAACTTTTCAATTACTCTGAAATTTTTTTTCAGATTTTGTTAATAATATAAGCCATATGAGCCGGCTTGTTTGACTCGCAAGCCAGCTCAGCTTGCCATATTTTGGACTCGAGTCGAGCTGGCTCGTGAGTCGAAATAATTTAGCTCAGCTCGAGCTGATGGGTAGCCAGCTCGAGCCAACTCATGCGGAGCTTTAAGCAATCTATATCAAATAATTTTATTTAATGAAGTTTAAGTGTAGAAAAATTTTTCAGTAGGCTGGCTGCTAAAAGACCGATACTGGATTCTGATTCTCCTCAGTGTGGCTATTCTAACAAGCTAAAATTCGTCAAAATCAGATCAGTAGATCAGCGAAAAATTAATATTATATAAAAATTTGGTTAAACCCATTTTTTATATAATATACAGCAATCTTGTATATCAATTTTTCACTGATCTACTGATCTGATTTTGACAACTTTTTCCTGCTTTAACATGATTACTGCTAGACAAATGAAAAATTCAAACAAAAATTTGCAAAATAAAAATATTTTTATTGAACTTTTTATTCAAATGCTCAAAATACTTCACTTCAAATATCTTTTATCTCTCAAACAAAAAACCCAAATAATTTTGATATTAAAATCCCAAACAAACAAAAAAAATTATCTTCTTCTTCTACAAATAATTTGAAAAATATCATCAAAAATAATATTCTCACCTTTCTAATAATCAAACTAATAACTCAAACATATCAAATACTCTTTTTTAAGTATCAAATGATAATAAAGAAGACTTCTTTATAAAAATAGACAACCTACTAATCTACAAATGATTCTATGCATGCCACTTAATCAAACTTTTACTTTTCTTTCTTATCAGATATTATTGATACTCAAATCCTTGATATCAAAGAAAAAAGAAAGAAACTTGGGTTGATGACCTTGAACCTTACGAATAATACATTGCTAATAAAAATGATGATGTCAACAATGAATCTTTTATTATCATTATTTCACCAATGTATTTTTACGCGTCTACTGATATTAAAGATATCACTGATTTCTCAATTGCAGAAAAACGTTATATGATCAACAAACTTTTCAGTCACATTGATAGATATAGGGGTTTGTACTATAGTACTAGATAAAAAAAATTTTATATTTATTTTCATATTTTAGACTCCCTAACACAAGCAACTGATAAAGTCAAAGAAACACAACACAACCCAATTTTTTTAGTAATTGATTTTAATGCTAAACAACAACACAAAAATAATGAAAAAGGCAAATACATCAAAGTTAATAATATTTTTCTTTTTGTAAAATCTGATATTATATGAAACATTTTTGAAAAATATGGAAGGATCTGCGAATTTTCAATGATTATCAGAGATAGGGTTCAGAGATAGGGTTCCTCAAAATCAAATCGAATCAAATATTTAAGTAATTTGAATTCAAATATTTAATTGAATCAAATATTTATTAAATCAAATCAAATATTTGATCAAATCAAATCAAATTGAATATAAAAATTTTTTACAATAATAGTTATTCTAAAATTTTAATTAAGTAAATTATTAGTAATTACACTAAAAAATTTCAAAGATAGCTTTTACAAAGTTTAGTAACAGGTGAATTTTTACTATTAAAAACTTAGTAAAACAACTTCATGGCTTTAGTTTTACTAAGAAAACTTAGTAAATAAAAAAAAGATGAACAATTCCACTTGGATTATTTCGACTCGGAAAAATTTATAATGGGCAATAATTCGCCCAAATTCGGCCCGGTTTAAAAACTCCCGGGTAAAAGTTAAAAAAAATTTTTTTTTATCTATACTGTTGTACATACTAATAATTATTTGTATTTTTTTATTTTGATTATTTTTGATTATTTCGATCATCTCAATCAAGTATATACGGTTATAATCTAGAACTATATAAATCATATATGATCACGTCCCATTTGGGTAAAATTATTAATAATAATATAACTGATAATAGAAATCACTATAAACACCAGAAATCGGTTCCCTCAGGAAAAAAAAAACCGACCTTTATTTTTTTTTTTTTATTGTTACAACTTGAAAGCAATCACCTTACAGATAAAGTAAAGCAACTTAAAAAGGGGAGGAAGAATAACACAAACAAACAAAAAAAAATCATTGAATTATACCTACTATTAAGGGCGTATAATTCTCTTAATAATTATTCACGTGTTGATACATCGCGATAAAGAAGGAGTAAGAGAATGAGATAATTAAAGAAGCCGAACAGCATAATGCTTGAATCAAATTTCAATTGATCGCAAATTCTAATCTTTGAATTAGAAAATGAAATTACGAGTCATAACCACTAGATATCATATTCCTTTCTCAACACTAAAAAGGAACATGGAAAATTCCAATGCGAATAAAATAATTATAATAAAAATAATAAAAATGAATATAAACCTCCCTTAAATAGTAGATCAACATGACGCGTTGCGTTTCTTCCTTTTTCCATAATGTGATTTTATTGTCGAACAAAACCCATAGAAAATAAATAAAATGAATATTAAATATCAAAATTACTTTGTTACTACATATATATACATATTTACATTAAATACACGGAGAACAACTTTTAGCGAACTTACCTTATATATAATATAAATTCAGAAAACAAAATTACGTCGCCAGAGCTTTGTCCGGTGTTAATCCTCCATCACTTGGTGTATTAAACCCTCCGCCACCATCTCCATTATTAGAATTTATGTTATTCTTCGGCCGTCTTCTCAATCGTCTTCCATCTCCGTAATAAAGCCTATATTCACAAAACATACAAATCCAATCCCCATTTTTTTCTGGAAATTTTATTTTACGCCTTGTTGCATTATTATTAGAAATATGTTGAATATCTACAGATCCAGAAGTTGAAGAAGCGTCATCCTGCTGTTGATGATGATGTGGGTGGTGATTATGCTGATGGTGATGATGCTGATTATGATGTTGATTAGGATGCTGTGGCGGTGGAAGCTGATTCTGAATTATTTGATTATTATTAACAGCTACTTGTGTTTTTTTCTTGTTCTTTTTGCGACCAGCATTAGGCAACCTTTTGGGTGTGGCTGCCGGTATTGGTGGTTGTGGTAATGCTTTTAATGTCTTTACAAATTGTGGATGTACATGATTATTATTAGCTGATATTAAATCTTCATTTTTGAATAATGCCGAAGATGGAGCCGCTCGTTTTGTTGAAACTTTTTTCTTTGTATTACTAGGTACAGCAACAGTTGTTATTGTTGATGGTGTTTGTTGAAGGAACAACGATGAAGAAAATGGATCATTCTTTGCGTTCATCGTTTGTATTGGTGAAACAGCTGCCAGTCGTTTTGCACTAGCCGCATTCACACTCGCTGCAGCTGCAGCTGCTGATTTTTCAGAAATTGATTTAAATGAAAAATCAAAAGTGGTTTGTGGTGGTCTCATGCCATCCAATTCTTTATTGACCGTTTTACTATCAAATGGTAACATAGAATCACTACTAGATGGCAATTTTACAACATTACTACGCTGTGTTGATCGTCTTTCAACTCTCCTCAGTGGATTTGCACGTTCTTTTGTCGTTAAAGTTTTCATCACACCACCTACTCCTCCACTTGTAGTTGAACTACCTCCAACTGTTTGTAATGCTTTTCGTTTCTTTTTATTATTTGCATTATCCAACCAATCCGTATGACCATTAGCATTGCTTCCATCATCTTCCTCTGCATCGAAATCATCATCATCCTCAGAATTAACCGGAGTAGCAAATGAAAACAAAGGAGACGGTGGAATAACAGGTAAAGATGGTTGTGATGATGAGGGCACAATTATCTCGCTCTTTATATTAAATCCTCCATTCCCGATGGATTCATTTTTAACTACATCGTTATTGCTATTGTTATTTTCATCGTTTGAACTATTGCCCTTTGATATTGGACGAAATTTGGCCCTTCTCGGTAATTCCTTTATTTGTCTCTGAGTGGGAGCATTCGTCGCATTATGAATAAATCCTCTAGGTGGAGGTGTCGTTTGTATTGTAGATGAGTTACTATTAGAACTATTAACATTAATTGTGATTCCTTTCGCTGACGCCGCTGCAGATGTTAATGATGTACTAGATATGCTTATGTCACCAAATTTCATCGGTAACTTGGATGGCGGAGAAACTACTAGGGGTGCTTTAATATTTCCATTATTATTACTAACGCTTGAATTTGGAACAGTTTTGATCGGCGATTTTGTCGGTACATATAATGTTGTTGATCTTCCTACACCAACGTTAGGATGTATTCCCTTTCGAGATGTCGATGCAGTGGAAGATAATGTTAGTGGTGCATTTAAAACATTTGTAGAATCAGAGCTCATAGGAACCGTCGCAGTATTAGTAGTAATATTATTATTGTCATCGTTGTTAGTGGGATGGATCAAAGGTGAAGGAATATTAGAAGATCCTTGAGTCCCTATAACATTATTTTTTGAGTTCATATCAAATTTAAAAGAACCAGTAAACTGTGGAAATAATAAATTAGAATTCGAAAATTGTGTATCGGTCGGAGAAGTAGTATTAATCGAAGGTGGCCATATCATCGAACTTGAAGGCATCGTTATTGAAGGTGCTTTTGATGATAATACGGGTGAAAATTTATCTAATACCGGGGGATGCCATTGTAGAGTTACGCGTCGTTGATGATCTTTTTGTTGTGAAATATTAGTGATGATAGAATTTGAAGAAGAAATGGAAGGATTCAAAGGATTTTGTAATGATAACTCGGAAGAATGTCCGAAAGAAAATGAAGAAGGAGTGGTGGTAACGGGTTGATTTGAAAAATTCGGTACAAAGAAATTTTTATCCGCAATATTTGGAAAAGTAAATTTAGAAGGAAAAGGGGAATCTGTCATGCCAGACGAGATTAACAAATTGTTCTTTTTGACGCTATTTTTACTCGGTTCAGAGGACTCACCAATTTTTTCATGGTTTACCGAATCGCCTTTAAATTTAGAGGATGAATTATCACCTTTACCGTTTGTAGTTACAGGTGGTGGTTCTAATTCTTCCAATAAATCTTGACTCGGTTTATTTGCTAACATTTCTCGTAAGACATCTTCAGCAATAGCAGGAGGTATTGTATATTCTGCTTCATCGGCTAAAGTTGATTTTATTTCTTTAGAAGATTTTTTATGTATTGAATCAGATAAATTTGATGCAATGGATGATCCTATATTTGTAGTTGAAATATCATTTGTAATTTGACTAAAAATAATATTATTATTATCTTCAACTGTTGTCGATAGTCCATTATGATTTTCCTTAATAGAATTTTTAATACTCGTAGCCTGCACTACCGAAGCTGTAGGTCTGTTATCAGAGTTGTCACGAATTGTCAAGCCTGCGAGGGAACTCGCAAGCGAATTGTTTGTAAAATCTATAGTTGTAGAACTAGTTAGACAAATGGTAAAATTATCTGAGGAAAAATCATCAATACCATTATCCATTAATTCCATAAAATTATTGCCATCAGAAGTAAAAGTAACAAGTTTTTCGGTTTGAGTACCACCGAGATCTATACCAGTATACACGGAATTTGAAATAATACCTTGCGAATATGAGTCTTGTATGGAAGGTAAGTTAAAATTATGGTGAGCATTAGAGTCGGATGCAACCACAGTATAAGTTGCTTCAGTGACCACAGAAGTTTCCACCGTAGGGGAATCTTGTAAGTTATCTTTGAGTTGGTCGTTTGCAGACTTGGCCTGTGATTGTCCCATAATGGTTTTCTTGTACGCCCCTGATGAGGCGTTGATTGAAGTCAATTTGACGGTTTTAATGGTGACAAATTGATGGGAAAAAGTTGAATCGCGAAACAGAACAACAAAAAGTAAAAGACCGAGAAAACGTTAAAGCAAAAAAAAAGGGGTTTGTAAAGATTTTCGAATTTTCAGAGGAGCTTCGTTGATAATAAAAAAAAAAAGTAAAATAAAATAAAAACGCAAGACAAATGTTAAATAAGTCAAAAAGGTGAAGAAAAGACCAACCTTAATATTAGAATAGAAATTTCAATTTCAGTTAAAAAAGTCTCATGTGTCACTGGAAAGAGCGACGTCATAAATAGTTACTTAGACGCTTAGTTAGCTTAGTTAGTAATACCTACACAAGCCCCTATGGTGGTTATAAATATAAGTGAACTGATGGATTGACATGCGAACATTCCCAAAACTAGCCGCGAATCTTGTTGGTTGCCCCAACCTTTTATGAAAATTCGTGAAACCATTTTATTTATCTATCATGATATCATAACTATTAAGATCATATTTGTATTACGTTTAAACATCATATGTCAACAGATGATGGGGATTATTATTATAAATTATCTTTTACTAGTTCACCATACAAACTAAGAAAAAACAAGATTGAGAAATGACCTAAAATCATTTTGCACTTTTGGGAAACTTCCCGCCACACTCGAGTGGCTTGCTGTTTCAATTTATCGTCTGATAATGCAAAATATTGTTTTAAAACATTAAATTAAAATTATCAAGTTCTTGGAGCGTATGAATTTTTTAAAGTATCAAAAGCTTAGATGATCAGTCCAAGATGCTCATCACCATAGACGGCTTATATTGAATCAGTTTATTGTTAAAAAAAAATGAGTGTTGAATTTAAGATCTGTTACGATTATTATTTGATTTTACTCATTTATAAATGTTAATTATTTTAATTATTCGAAGAGTTGAAATATCACGTGATATTTTCTCGAAAATGCAATAATTATGGTATAACCTATAGCCATAAATTATTTTAATTAATCAACATACCTTTATAAACTGATGTTTTTTATCAAGAAAAAAAAATATTTGTGATAATCTTTAAATTTTCCGTTGATTTTAATTTTTAAAATGCACTAAGCCAAATGGAGTAATATCATACTAGTAAGTGACAAATAAGATTTATTCAATTTTTTATCAAATTATCACGTAGGTATTATAGTATTGATATGCAAGTGACGTTTCCCCCACGTTACATTTATCCAAAATTGGATACTTATGGCGAGTTCAACGAAAAATGCAAGATAAAATTTGCAACATTGGTTTTTTTTAATGATTTTTGGTGTAAAGTTAATAAAAAATAAAAACAATTTATATTAGGTAAAATATAATTTATTAGGTAATATTATAATAAAAGAACGAAAATAAATATCCTAAAGAGACATAATACTATTCTTGAAGAAAATAAAAAGGACCGTAGATTTTCTTGAAGCTATCCTATATAAATCACCCATTATTTATTATAATTATCGTACCATTTCTTCTCTTTGCAAAACAATTGAGAAATAATCTTTCGGGTCGGAGCTGCCAATAATACTTGTTTCAAGACGATATAGAATATATAAAATTCGATCTCTTAAACGGAGACGCAGTATAAAGATGGGAGGAGATGAACGCGTGATCAAAAAATTGTTCGTTTAAAGTCCCAATATAATGAAAGGACATCGAAGGAGTCGGGCTTCTTATTTATTCATATTTTGAGACTCGTTTTTTATACTTTTGTGCTACTATTATTAATACATGAACTATTGCCAAATTTGTAAACTTAACCCTGTTGTTAAGACTTCAAAATCCATTTGACACATTAATCTCAGTTTTCGGTTTGTTTCTCATCCTTAGTAGCTTTGTAGCGTTTCACCAAGAATCGGACTCTGATTTGAATAATCTTTTTTTTTTTAATATATATATACTGTTTATTGTAAAAAAAAAAAAAAAAAAGATATCAGTAATTCACTTCATTTAATCAGGAGTCGTAGAGAGAGGTAATCCGGTTACGCAAATGCTCAAAAAAAGAATATATAAACGCGCTTCTTGCGAGTTTTGAGGAAAAAAAAAATTTTTTTTTTCTTTCTTATAAACTCTAAACGAAGGTATACTATTGATTTTAAAGTTCTTTGAATGTCTTTATGTAGATATTGTTGTAACTTCCCTCACTGATAACCTTTTTTAAAATCGCGTTACAACTTTGACTATTTCCAGTTAGTTCTCAAAATGAATCCACAACAAAACACCACCGAACAACAGCAATTGGAAGACTTGGTCAAGCTTATTAAATTGGCTCGTGAAGAAGGTATACCTATGGCTGACAACGATGGACGTAACGATCACCAGGTAAATTTTTCTTGTACAAAAAGTTTCATATTATATGCCATTATAATATGTATATTTTTCGCTTATATTTTTGAACGTTTCTTGTTTTTCTTTGCGTATACCTGGCTTACTACGAGAAAAATTTTCAAAAACGTCATAATTATTCGTGTTCAAAATATTGTAACGTCTACTTAAAATTCGTACACAACGTTAATATTATCTCCTCTTTTACATCCTTTCTATACATACAGCTCGCTTGCGATTTTTTACTTTACCTACAATATGCATCATACAAGCTCAAGAATGGATGGCAGAATTATAATTTAGCAACAGTTACACAATTATACGAAGAAAAGATGAAAATGGAAAATCTTAGTAAAAACAATATAAGGTTTACATGTAATGCTGAGAGTTCCGCACAAATTGATGCAGATTACTTTGATTTTCTTGATTATTCTTCTAACGATGAATATAATCAAGTACTTGAAACTAATGTAAATGATGGTTGTACAGTGTTAAAGGAATTAGGTCTATCTGATTCAACTCTTGTATCTACAAACGGCTCAACAACTGGTTCATCTCTTCCTTTTCAATCTGACCAAAATGTCGCAACATATTGTTCAACAAATGCAAATGTGTCGCAAGATTCATCGAAATATGGATCAAAAATTATAGCAGCATTTCTGAAATCCGACTGGCCATCTGATGATGAGGATGAAACACCTTTTTCGACATCAATTAAGGAACGTGGAAAAGCCTTATATGAAGAAAAAAGACGACAGGCTGAGGTTGCATCAAAAAGCACAAATGACCTGACGTATGCTCAAGTGCAGCAAGCACTTTTGGCAAATGAAATTAATGTGAACGAATCTTTCAAAAATAACGGCCGAAGGTTGACGAGGAATTCTGTCAAAGGAAAAAGAACGACAACGACGAAGGCAACCAACCTAGGGAAAAGATCGAGAAAACAAATAGGAACGGGTCGAGCCATTATGACGTCATCGGGATCGATGACAATAAACCATGTGCCAACTACTGTTCCCGGGCTGCAAGTTATTTCACCGTGTACGTCTTTGGTCGGGTTCAGTCAACAACAAACAGAAGAACAAGAACGGCCACAAACTCCCGTAAGGGGAACAAAGAGAAAAGTTCGTGAAGGAGAAGTCGTCGCCGAAAATCCCGCACTTATGGATTTTGACGTCAATAAAATGTTTGACGATTTCGACTCAGCCGTACACGCCGCAGTTAACGTAACGCCGGGAACGATGTATAATCAGCTTATAGCTGATATCTCTCCGTCAATACGGGACCGTTTTTCAGCAAACTCACCCGGGCAGGAATTCGATGATTTATGGGCTACATATGGTGCTCCTGTTAACAAACGACTTCGAAAAAGTTCGAAAGGTAGAGAATGGACAATAGGTTTCGAGTCCGAGATATCAGAAGTTCGCGGTGTCGCAGAAGCAGGACATTCTTCCTACCAGGCATCATTAGATGCTTGGGCAGCAAGTGACGCAGCTTCCGGCGATGTGTCGCAAACTCCCGTCGAAGTACCTAGAACTCCGCCACATCAAATTAGGTCGGCTACTTGTGTGAGAACTCCTGGCTCAGCGTTTTCACTGAGCGAATTCCTCAACTTGTCGCCATCACCAATGTTGGGTGAATAATAATAATAATAATAAAAATAATAATTATTATTTTTATGAAGAATGCAGACAGAAAAATATATCTATAAAAAAAAAAAATCCCTAATAATAATACTTTAGACGAAGTCCGATTAGAATTAGAAATAGGTGGAGAAATTATGATGTGCGGTTTTAAGAATTAAAATTAATATTGCAAAAACGAGATGAAAAAAATTGACGTGATAATAAAAAAAAATATCATTATTAGTTTTTGTTTTATGCAAAAACATTTTGTGTATAATAAAAAAATAAATAAATAAATAAATTAGAAAGAAAAGTCAAAGGAGAAGGTTTGTAAAAAACAAAAATTTTCAGACTTTTAATTGTTTCTTTTGTATTTTGTAATGAAAATTTTTTTTATTATTAAGTAATAAAAAATTTTTCTTTAAAAAATCATTTTCAGAATTTTTTTTTTTGTTTTTTTTTTTTAAAAAAAAGACTGATTATATATTAAATTCTAGTTTAATAAGAAATGATATAGAATGTCGACACAAAGAACACTAATTCCAAAACACTTGAAACGTTTCAAATAGTAGAATTGTTATATAAAATATTCGAAATCTATTTTTATACATATTGCATATTATATACATTATCTACGCATTTTAATATAAAGAATTTACAATAATTTTGGATATAGATAAACGAATTACCAATTATATAATATTAAATGTTTCACATATTTGCTCATTTTGCAAGAGAACTTGAAAAGAGAAAAAAGATAAGAGTCTATAAATATCGATATATGCAAGTTTGCCAAATATTTCATATAACCCCATCATCTACATTTTGCCTCTTTAATTCTAAATAATCTATCTAATATTAGTTTTCAAAATGGACTAATAATATTTATTAAATAAATTTTACGAAGGACATTATGTAATTATCAGTTCCATTCTCACTCACTGCATTTATATTAAAATCAATATTCATTTGCTCTTCAACTTCTACAAGGTCGACTTCTAAAATAGCAGTTCTACTGTCAACATCAACTGTTCCTTCAACGTTAATCTCTTCAGGATTACTTGTTATATTCTCATCGACTTCCGTATTATGAATTAAATTTTCACCCCCTGTATTATAATAGCGCCAAGCATAATCACCTTTAGCTCTCCAAACTTTGAGAGAGTTGTCACTTGTGGTGTTTCGATTTTGATCTTTTGATATAAAAGCATCGATCGATTTAAACTTTCTTTGTCCTGAACAAGAAGCAATAAGCGGGAAAGAAGGATGAATCGATATAGCAGAAATTGCATCTACATAAAAATCATAAAAGATTAGCATTAAGTACAATATTGCAAAATGAGATAAATTTTTAAAATTCACCTTCATGTGCCGGCATATCCAATACTTTCTGAGGATATCCTTTGGCGTTAAGATTAGTCAAATCATAAACAATAATCTTTCCGTCCTATAAATAAAGATAAAATTTTTATAAAAAAACTTTTATAGCAAATTAATTAACCAATGTAAAACTTACAAAACTTCCGGTAACCAAATAGGATCCCGCTATATCGATATCAAATGATAATCTTTGATTGGTATTACCACTACGTTGTAATTTATATAAAATTTCACCAGTATTTCGAATATCCCAACAACGTATAAAATCATCTTTTCGTGATGCTGAAAAAAGGTACTTTCCATCTCGAGAAAATTGAACCTAAGAAAAAGGAAAATCCAATTTTTAGTTATATTTTGTATTTAGCTGATATCTGAATAGAATTAAATTTTTACATACTTGTGTTATGTCTCCAATTATTTCTTTTTTTGTCCCTTGCAAAACACAACACAATTCATTATTTGATTCATCATATAGTCCAATCGTTTGTGAATATGATCCCGCTGCATATAAACCTGATCTATCAGGATTAAATGACAAGCATGAGATGATTCCTGCAATAGATATATTCAATTAATAAATGCTTTTAACAAGTGTTAAATTAACAATTATTAACCTTTTTGCCCTTCTTTACTTTTACGTGAAGGTGTTGTTTTAACATCTTCACCATCACGCCCCGGACGGTGAGAGTCAAAAATCTTAATCATATTTTTGTATCCGCAATATATCCTATTAATAAATTAACAAAGCAAAAAATGTTTAAACTTAAATATAAATTGATAAAAAATATAGTTTTGATAATTTACTTTGAACCATCCAAGTTGAAAGTCAACGCGTTTGGTCCTACAACTTCATCTCGGTGATCAATTATAGTATAAGAACATCTTACCTAAAGATAGAAAGGATCATGTTATATTTGTTTAATATGAGAAACTAACATATTTCGTGAACTTTTTACCTTGCCAGTATAAGCATCCCATAATTGTATCGGGTGTTCACGATTTGACGAGAGAAAGCAACAAGTGTCCGGATCTTTTTTAATTTCTTTCATTAACCTAATTATTTAAAAGTTTTGAATCGAATAGATATATAACTTATTTACCTTGACTAGACATCATCGGATACCAACAAAAATCATATATAGTTTCTCCCGCATGACAAGTCAGAACCGAATTTAAATCAAGTTCTATAATTCAAGATTAAAATGAAGTTTTTTGCTTTTTTGTTTTTACATAACAAATTATAACTACCATTAGCAGTTTCTAAAGTATTCATAGGTCTATTTAATTTTCAAGAAATCAGTATAAAATCAAGAGAGAAAATAAAGAATCATGTTCCCAATTATACTCACAAATCAAAAATTCTTAATATATTATCATTCGATGAAGTTAATAAACATGCACCGTCTGGTGACCTTCCGTAATAATAAATATTTGCAATAACTGAAAATATCAGTTTTCCTTCAGAAAAAAAGGGTAGGAATATATATATATTTACTTAGACATTCAAACTTACCATTTCGCGTTCTTAAAAAAATTTCCCTCAGACGCATTTGGTATATACATATCTTCTAACTTTTCGAACATTTTACTATGGTTTAAACAATCTAGTACTGAACTACTAAATTGCTTTTTAGTAGAACATACCAAACTAAGTTTTTGTGTAAAATCAAATTGAAATATAGAAAAGTATCCATTATTTTCAGCACTTTCAATTGTTGTTGCTGTAGGATCTACTTTTGTTATTATCTCGTTTGTCTCCATTTTGATCAATATCATCAAAATAGTAAAAAAGCTCTAATTTAAGTATTTTGTCGGCAAAGATTCTGATTGGCTTAAATAACATTATTTGTTTTTTAAATTGTGGCCGCAGCAATAAACATTGTGTGGTACATTGGTACATTACAGCACATTTGTTAATTTGATTACATATATTAAGTAAATTCATTAGCTATGCACAGACATATGCACATAATCGAACTGTATACACAAACAAATGCGAAATCTTAACTTTATTTAGTAAGAATGCCTTATTTTTATTATTAAAGGAAATTACTTTATATATTAAATATAAAATAAGTCCAGAATTTATAAAGGGATACTACATTCTGTTTATGTGAGCTAAAAATTGTTGATGTGGCTATATTGCTGGCGAAAATTTGATAATACGATAGTGTTGGACATTCTTAAAATGCTTTGGACATAAAAAATGTAGAGTATATTTTTTCCTAACACAGAGCAGCAGATCGGAAGTGTTTTGATGATCTCTATCGGACAAAATTTCATACCAAATATACTACGATAATTCAAAAAAAAAAAAATTTAATTTTTAAAAATCTTACAAAATGACAACAATTGACGAAATTAGACAACAACTTAAAAAAAGCAGAGGTAAACCATGAAGAGGCGAAGGAAGAACTGAAGCAGTGAAAAGAAAAGTGGGGAGGGAGGCTAGACCAGTTGTTGGGAGGAGAAAAAGAAAAGTATGAAAGGGAGTTTGATCGCTTAAATAAAAAAGAAGAGTTGACGAAGAAGGTGGAAGATAGGTTGAAACAAGTAGAATACTTGCAAAAAAATTTGCTGAATTCGAAGAAAAAGGTAATGTACAAATTGCGTAAGAAAATATACAAAAAATTATTTTCTGTTCATTCCATTTCGTTGGTATGTACTGTTTACAACCTTAACCAACTTGTTTACAACTTTAACTAATTTGAGCTTTTTTTCACGTTTATTTTTCCATTCTCTATATTCCAACATTTTACACTTTATTAGGTGAGAGTAATAATATTGAAAAGCATTATATTATTGCATCATATTTTCTTACCTATTGAATAAATTTTTTCATTACAAATCATTCATTATTATTATTAGTTTCACAAACTTCTCAAAAAAGATCAATCGAAGATGTGAGCTCCCAATTAATAATTGATATTATTAAGAAAAGACCTAAGGCAACATTACTTTCTGTCAATGAACTTGCTGATTTTCTTGATCAACCTTTCCTGAAACTTTGAAATTACCTCTTTCTCAAGACCAATTACAACCTTTTATTAGCTTTGAATATCCAAGTTCAAATACAGAAAATGATCTGAACATTTTTTTTTAGAATTAGTGAAGAACAAACTTCCTTCTTGTTACTCAATCAGTTGGTTGGTCAGATAATTACAAAAAATGCCCCTCCATCTAATTCAACAGAGAATATCTATCATTTATTTTGGGATTTAAATATCCGAAGTCCTCTTGAACTTCTAATCCTAGATGGTATATCTGTTCGAAATACTTTTCAGCATATGAGTACTGCTAATAAATGACCTGATTATGGGTTTAGTGTTAATCAAATTTGTACATTTAGAGGAGAAGAAAAATCAGAAATGAGCAATGAAGATCTAAAAGCAGAACTTAGAAATAAATTGATTTGGGCATATGGTGCAGCACCATATATTATGGGATATTATGCTGAAGGAACAAATGTTACATTTGTTGGCATTTGCTGACCTTCTTCTGATTCAAATAATCACAAATCATCAATATTGTGAGTTTAAATCTAAAGCATAGAAATGAACGCATTATTAACTTGTGACAAATGTTCAATTTGACCCTGCTTCTAAGTTCACTCAAGAAAATAATTGGATGGCATGATGCATCTGAACTTCTTCCAATTGAAAAGTAGATTGATAATGTTGACTTAGAAACACTTTATCTTTAGTATATCATTTATATACCAATTTTTTCCTCTTATCATAAAGATGATCATATTATTATTGTGAAACTCCACAAATGTCAAGAAGGTTTTCATTGTTTAAATTTACAGATTCAAATTAAAAAGTTAAAAGTTATTTATAAGAAAGTAAAGCATAAAAATGTATCAAATGTTGATCATATTATTGCTGTAAGTTTGACTGATGAAATAAATTCTTATTTGTATTTAGAATCAAGAGGTATTTGTGTTTATTCAAAAATAGAAAAAGAAGTGATTGAAGTTGTTTTATGTGTACTTGAGGCTACAGAATTAAAGAAATCTTTTTAAGCTTTTTCTAATCAGAATAAAACATATTTTTAATAGCTTAACTTAAAATCATAGATGATAGATTAACAAGTATTAATGACATTTTAAAAAAAAATTAGATCTAACAAAAGAACTTTTTATTATTAGAATCATAATATTCATAATATACTTTTTTATCAAAAAACTTATCTTAATATCTTAGGAATTGGTAAAACTTATTTTAAAAATATTAGAAATCATCTTATAAATAATAGACTTCTGCTAAAAATTTATGGAAATATTAAAAGAATATCTTAATAGAAAACTAAAATGATGATTAACAAAAATGTTGCTGAAGAGATAAAGAATTTTCTAGAAAATTATGCAAAAGTTCATGGATTATCAAGTTTAGAAAGAAGTGTCAATAGAATAACTCAATCAGTTGTATTTTTACCAGCTGAAATGAATTATAAATCAGTATACAGAGATTTTCCAATTGGTCTGAAAGAAAATAACAAATTGATATGATATCTTTAAAAAGTTATAATATCAATTGATATCAGAAATTTAAATTACAAGTCTTAAAACTGATCTATGTGATACTTGTTAATATTTTAAAGATAGTTTACATTATAATGCTCATTAAGAAAAAGAAGCTAAAGATTTGCTTAAAAGATTTATAGAATATCTGTTCAAAATTAAAATAGAAAAAAATTATTATAATAAAAATACTAAGTTAGCAAAAAAAACAAAGAAAGTTAGTTAATCAAAATTATTTTCAAGGTTTATTATAGTTTTGATTAAATCCAAAATATTTATATATCATATTTAAATCAACAAGTTAGTAAAATTTATTACTTTAGTTAATATAAAGTTTATTTATTTGATATTCAAGATGAAGCAGTTAAAGAATAAATTAATTATATTTTTAATGAAGATAGGATTATAAGAAAAAATCTTAATTGTATATTTAGCATAATCTTTGATGAAATTAAGAAATTAAATAAGGGTGAAAAATATTTAAAGATTACTTGTAATAATGCTGATAGATAAAATAAAAATAATATAATAATTTGGTTTTATTTATATTTAGTAATTTGTGATTATTATAAAAGTATTGAACTAAATTTCATAATTTCAAAACATATCAAATTTAAATCTAATGATAGTTTTGGTTTTATTAAAAAACTTTATAAAAAACAAAAGTGAATTATCTAAACCATATGATTAATATGATGAAAAGATCTAATCTAGCAGAATTGAATAAAACTTAATGTTAAGAAAGTGGAAAAGGTTTTTAATATTTAGATATCAAATCTATTTTGAGAATTTATTTAAGAAATTAAATGGTTTACAAAAGTATCAACATTTTTTTTTTAAAATATTTAATCTTGATACAGTGAAAGTTCAAGAAGTTGCTAATAGGTCTTTTACTGAATTCAATTTAATGAAAATCAAGAAAGCAGATATTTTTTAAGAGATTAAAGTTTCATTTATATTAGTGTTAACATCATCTCCTTTGGATTATAAAAGATAAGAGTATTTTTATCATAATATTTGCCTATTATTAGAAGAAATTACTTGCCTAAATTAGAAACAAAAGATGTCTTTCTAAATTATTTTAAGAAAATTTGAGTTTCGAGATATTTGAGATAAAACTATTTGTTTATAATAAACATCTTTACCTAAATTTTTAATAGGTTTTCCTAAACTTAATTAAGTTTCATCAAGTTTTAGATCTAAAAAAAAGTCATTTTAAAGGTTTCAAAATAGTTTTTCAATTTTTAAGCCATATGTTAAAATAGGTTTTAAACAGTATCATTATTGGAAATAAATAATATATTCAAAATAATATCACATCTAGGATTTTATTACTCATTAATTTGTCTTTTATTATTATCAAGTTTAATAAGTTTAATTTTTTTCCACTTTTAAAGTAAAAAATACTAAAATAATTTATATACTTAATATTGTTAAATGAAATAACTTTCGACCTAATGATTATATTTCAATGGAAATATGATCATTAGAACCGTCTTATTGAGTGCTTTCCAATGAATATAAACATAAGGTTATTGGACCAATAGAAGTAGAGATAATTCGAAAAGAATGATTGCTATTATAATTCTGCAGATCACTACTAAAGAAAGCCGTAATTTCTTAAGCCGCAGCTCGACGATCAAAACGA